AAAATCTAGAGAAGAACAAGGCAGCATTACATAATGGAAAAAATTATATCCTTCAGCAGAAATGAATAATTCCTTTAATTTATGAGCACCTCTAGCCCTCAGTAGAACTTTGCTTCTTAGTGGAGATGAAGGGCTGAGCACAAGGAGATGGTAGTTGGCACTTATTGAGATGTGGGGCTGGATAATTATTTGTTGTGGGGACGGTCCTGTGCATCGTAGGATGGTTAGCAGCATCTTTAGTATCTACTCACTACATGCCAGTAGCACCTCCGCACCCCCAGCCAGTTGTGATAATCAACGGTGTCTCCTGACTTTGCTAAATGTCCTCTGGGGAACAAACTGCCCTTCGTTGAGTACTTCTCGCTTAAAGTGAAACAACAGATTTCAAAGGTTTCCTTATTTACCCATTTTGTCTAATTCGAAAGTAGCAGGGCTGTATCTGTTTTTTAAGTTAGGAACAAAAAGTGATTTAGAGTTTTAAGTCACATTTGGCCACACCTTTTTCTGGCTTTCTGGGTGAATCACAATTCAGTTTCAACTCCCATGTTTCAGAGGTTTACACATGCACTTAGAAATACATGGAACCATACTTCTTTCTTACGTCCAAGTTGTCACATGGATGGTTATTTGTAGATTATTCTTCCAGTTGTAAGCAGCTGAAGTGATTAATGGTCTCTGTAAGTTCACGTTTTGATAACCGCAGATGGAGTCTGACCCTTTGTATCTTTTCCTTTTTTTTTGATAGAAGTTTTTATAGCTCAATGATCTTGGGGATTCATTGGGAAAGTTGAATGTTTGAGTTCAAATAACTCAGTTCCTATTTCCAAATGATTCTTGTTATCTGATGCTTTCTAAAAACAGAAATGGAATTAAGGGGGAAAATAAACACACATGGATTTGATATTGTTTTTATTTTCCAATAAGCTTTCATTAAACGGGAAAGAAAAAAACCCTTCAGTTTATCTGAATCTCTTTTCAAATAATACACACATTGGTCTTGGCAGCAGTTGTCCAGCCTGTTTGTAGAGTGAACCTTTTGCGTTTTTAGTTGATACTGGGGATGCTGGGGTCTCATACTTATTGGGTGTGGGAAATATGTAGGTAAGTCTAGTTATAGGTAACTCTAACTGGTTCTCAGTCTTGGTTTCAATTAGAATTATCTGAGGAGCTTTGAAATAACGCAGGGCCCAGGCCAAATCCCAGACCAGTGAAATCAGGCCTCAGGCCAGGTTCCCTCTTCCCTTAATCTAGTGTCAGTGAAGGCTGAGAACCAGGGAACATTTCAGTAAGTCAAGTTTTATTGTAACACAGCCACACACATTCATTTACTGATTGTCTAGAGACCCTGTGGCTTACAAAACCTAAACTATTTACTGTTTGGCCATTTACCAAAAAAGTTCGCTGACCCCTGTTCTCAACTCACAGTGAACATTTTCCAAATATTTTGAAAACAGGTTTTATACAAAATTCATAGTAAAAGGGAAAAATCCAGGATTTTGCTGAGCCTGTAGGCTCCAATCCTGTCAGTTTTCTTGCACCCGGGGAAAATTTAAAAACATTTTCCTTGAAGAACTGACTTGAAGATTTTGCCCCAGCGGAGGAAGATGTAACCAACTCGGCACCCAGATGGGGGGCGCCATTATTTATGTCAGGACACTTTTTACTTAATAGTTGGCGCTTGTTCTAATAAATGTTCATCACTTAGACTGTGCTGACTTGAGGGAAGGCTATAGAGGTAGAAACGTTTCTCTCACGCAAAGTGTGTTTCTGTAGCCATTCTAGGTGGTTGTGAACCCTGAAAAAAATATCTTAGTTCTGGGGAATCTCATGTATAAAAAGAAAACTAATGGAAAATTTAAAGTAGCATCATTTCTGCCTTTTCTTAGTTTAGGTGGAAAGTTGTAAACGGTTGGTCAAAAGAATTTTTTAGGAAGTTCTCCTTTGGTCATAGGCCCCTAACGGTGTTCAGTGTGAGAGAAAGAATCGTTTATTCTAGTCCCTTGACACCAGAGTGAGGTTTTATTTTTTTGTGTGTGTGTTTTCTTTTACTTTTAAAAATATTTTTATTGACTTAGAGAGAGAAGGGCGAGGGAGAGAGAGAGAACCATCAATATGAGGGTGAAACATCGATTGCTGCCTTCTACACACCCGCTCCCTGCAGGGGATCAAGCCTGAAACACAGGCATGTGTCCTGACCAGGAATGGAACTGGCAATCTTTTGGTGCACAGGATGATGCGCCACCAACTGAGCCACACCAGCCAGGGCCAGAGCGAGGTTTTGAGCTAGAAGAATCAGCCTCTCCTGGAGTGAGTCAGACTCTGAGGCTCTACCCAGACTTACTGAATCAGAGTCTACTTTTTAACAGGATCCCAGGCTGTTCTCATACACATTCAGAGAGCACCAGGAAGTACTGGTCTAACGGATAACTGGGTCAGTGCAGTAAGCACTGCTGATAGTCACTTCCCTCTTATATGATTTCACAGTTCCTGGTGGCTCTCCTGACTTGGGCCCACTCACTAAAGGCAGCCAGTTCTCCCCTTTGGCTATTTCCAAGCATTGCTGCATGCCCTCTTATTTAGTAAAAATTTATATAATGATAGAAAATGAAAATTGGATGATTGAGCTGGAAGAGATACCATTTTATGTGCTTCAGAAAAAACTAGAAAGGATACAAGGAACTTGGCCAGATAAACTTCACTTGAAAGGGAATAATTAAGTAGAATAGAGTCTTTTTTGCTTTTGCAAGAAATAATCTACACATCAAGCATACATTTGTGCTGGGGGAACAGTTGGGAGGGGCAAAAACGAACTCTTTGAGCTTCTCAAATTAGCACACAGAAATCAAGGACTTAGGCCTTTCCACCAAGCACTGCCATAATATTCAAAGTTTACTTTGGCCTATATTACTTGAGGAATTGTCCAAAATTTGGATGTTCATAGAAGATCTTGAGGAAGCCTAGGACCTAATTTTATCCTGCCAGGCTTTGCCAAGTTAGTACTATTTTTTCTAAATCAAATAAGTAGCTTCTAGAGATTGGATTGAAAAACACGATTTCAAAATTATTCCTTAATTGTTGAACAAATTTGGTTTATCCAGAGCATTCCTTAGATTGACTTTAAAAAAAAATTAATACCATCTGAATTTAGTGTTTTTGAAACTGTATAAATAATTGAAGTCTAGATGTTCTTGCTGTGAAGATAGGGTCATGCATTTAATGTTTAGTGTCTGTACCAGGGTGGGTGCAGGAAACAGGATAATTCTAGGTGTTCGCAGAGTGGCCAGGAAAGTGGAAGTGGGGTGCCCTTCTAAGCCTGCAGGTCCCATTTCCTTAGCTTTGAATGAGAGGCCAAGAAGCTGTGTGAACTCCTGGTGGCTCTCCTGACTTGGGCCCACTCACTAAAGGCAGCCAGTTCTCCCCTTTGGCTATTTCCAAGCATTGCTGCATGCCCTCTTATTTAGTAAAAATTTATATAATGATAGAAAATGAAAATTGGATGATTGAGCTGGAAGAGATACCATTTTATGTGCTTCAGAAAAAACTAGAAAGGATACAAGGAACTTGGCCAGATAAACTTCACTTGAAAGGGAATAATTAAGTAGAATAGAGTCTTTTTTGCTTTTGCAAGAAATAATCTACACATCAAGCATACATTTGTGCTGGGGGAACAGTTGGGAGGGGCAAAAACGAACTCTTTGAGCTTCTCAAATTAGCACACAGAAATCAAGGACTTAGGCCTTTCCACCAAGCACTGCCATAATATTCAAAGTTTACTTTGGCCTATATTACTTGAGGAATTGTCCAAAATTTGGATGTTCATAGAAGATCTTGAGGAAGCCTAGGACCTAATTTTATCCTGCCAGGCTTTGCCAAGTTAGTACTATTTTTTCTAAATCAAATAAGTAGCTTCTAGAGATTGGATTGAAAAACACGATTTCAAAATTATTCCTTAATTGTTGAACAAATTTGGTTTATCCAGAGCATTCCTTAGATTGACTTTAAAAAAAAATTAATACCATCTGAATTTAGTGTTTTTGAAACTGTATAAATAATTGAAGTCTAGATGTTCTTGCTGTGAAGATAGGGTCATGCATTTAATGTTTAGTGTCTGTACCAGGGTGGGTGCAGGAAACAGGATAATTCTAGGTGTTCGCAGAGTGGCCAGGAAGAACCAGGAAAGTGGAAGTGGGGTGCCCTTCTAAGCCTGCAGGTCCCGTTTCCTTAGCTTTGAATGAGAGGCCAAGAAGCTGTGTGAACTGCTCCTTATATAAAAGCTGCCCCTTGGTCCCAAAGGCAAGGTCTGATGGCCAGAAAGAAGGCACAAATGCCGAGTGCCAGCTGCTCACTGCTGCTGGAGAGACAGCACGTGCTCCCTCTGCCTTCCCTTCTGTCTTCCAAATCTCACTCCATGTCTTGTTAGCAGAATCCAAATCACCTCCAGAGCCCTGGTGACAGGAGAGTCTGGGAAACATATCGCACTTTTGTTCCTTGTTGCAGGGAAAAGCATAGAAGGGGGTGGGAATGGATGCCGAGTGATGATATTCAGCATAGCATCATGCTAATGACAATAGCTTACCTTCACCCTATTTTCATGTTTTTAAAAAATATTCTCTATATGCACTGTATGTTCACTAAGATGAGATGCCAGTTTTACACGTGAAGAAATGTGAGAAGGTTAAATGACTGGCTGCTGGTCAAACAGGGTAGTCATTGTCACAGTAATGCCATGCTCTCCTGTTTTTCCTGCCCAATTCTCTTTACTACTTGTTAATTGGGCATCATAGGATGAGAAGGAATTTTAGGGGTGCTTTAGCGGGAACCCCAAGATAGAAAAGGCACCTCAGAATGCACAGTTCTAGTATTTTCAGGGTTAGTGTACTGCATGGTTGAGGATACTACCAACTTAATAGGGTATGGCCTTCACTTAAAGAATTAGGCAATTCTTGAAATGACTATAAAATGCAACTTTGGTCTTAATACATTCCTTCTTTTTTCTTAAGCCGATGAAAACCTCAGAGAACCGCCACCCTGTGGGTTCCCAGTACAGGATGCATTCGTACTACCCAGCTCCCTCCTACCTGGGCCAGAGCGTGTCCCAGATCTTCACTTTTGAGGACGGCCCTCCCTACCCGGAAACCAAAGCGAGCGGTAGGTGTCTGGTTACACAGACTGGATTCTGGGTGGAGAGAGGATGAGTGTCCAGCACCGGGTCTCTGGCTCTCCAAGGGTTCACCAGTGAAGAGCTATTGGGAAGTGTATTGCTGTGTAAGTCTTATATAAGTATCCTTTAAGGTGTTTTGTTATGGAATGATTTTGTTTTGCCTAGATTCTTAATATTACCTTTCTCTTTTTTGTATACCCAGAGAGACAGGAATAAGATAAAAGACTCCTCAGAAGCTAAAAATGTGTTTTCTGAGGGATCAATATGAAATACAGGGACACTTTAAATGTGGTTCCAAGTCCTGATGTTTTTGGTAAAGTGAATTTTCATATATTGAATACTTGTTTTCCAAAATTTTTCCATTTTAAAGTTGAAGGTATATTTATATTTTGGGGAAAAGAAATAAAATAACATAATAAAACATTTTTTAATACAAGCGGTCTCAGAGTTTATGCAGTAGCAATGTAAATAACTCTGATAAAATGGCTTTGAAGTGAAAAATGACTGCTTAATGTACCAGAGCACTTGGAAATACACAATTGCTCAATTTCAGTTTTAACCTTCTCCCCAGCGTTTACACTGTGGAGACAGACAGGTTTTTTTCGGCTGTTGTGTTCCTAGGACCTGTTTTTAAGTTCTTTATATATAAGTATTATCTTTTGACCTGGGAAAGTGAGAAGCTTACACGGTCGAGGCAGTAGAAATCAGGGCAATGGTGAATGACTTGGTAATTTCAATAACTTGATTCTCTGTAGAGAACTGGTTTCTTTGTAAAGCAAGTACTTAGAGAATGAGAATCAGAACCATGCTTTGATTTCCAAATTTAGAACAATGAAGTCTAAGAAGGCTGGGCAAGTTACACTTTATTTATTGCACTAAAAATAAAGGATTCCGTTAATGTGGATTATATAATATAGGTTAAGGGAACCGATAAGTGTGAACTGCAGAAACACTGAAGTACATATTGTTGATCGTACTTTGACTTTTATTAATAGTCATACTTCAGAGTGGACAAACACAACTATTATGAATGTTTATACTGTATAATATATGCTCATATGTTCTTCCTTTGATTATATATGCTTATCTGGATTTTAAGCTCCTTAAGGATAGTGAACACATCTCATATCTTTTTATATGCTATGATGCCTTTTTAAAAATTTGTTATTTATTAGTTGAATGATGAATGAATGAATAAATGAATCCAGTATTATTTTTAAGTTAGCTTGTTCTTTAAGGAAATATAATTCTGTAAGGTCAGAATCCTAATAGTCTGATGGAGTCCTTAAAAAAAGTTTATTCAGAAAATTACCAATGAAACCTACTTTAAGGGGGAAATTGCCTAACCTTCTTTCTCCAGGAATAATGGAATGTTTTTAGAAGCACTGGCATTCTTGAGACAAAGGTGTAAATTCAGAGGAAGGCAATAAGACAAAAAGATAAGAAGAATTTATTAGAGCAGAGAAGAATGAATTTGGAGAGGAGCAGTAGGCATTTGAATTGATGGCAGAAAAGAAGAGACTCAGAAGGAAAGAGGTTACAGTCCAGGAAAGAAAAGATTGGCTGCTCCAGTGTTCACAGGGAAAGATTGGGTGAATAACACCTAGAATTTCCTCAAAACTTTTCTGGTGATATGTGTATCTGAAAGTGTGGTTTAACCTCCCAGTAACCCTCTAACTCACTAATAATTAATCAGGAGGGTCAAGCTTCAGACATGAGGGCATTAGCTAGGAAGAATTGCAGTGAAATCTCTGTTTTGGAATCGATGGACAACGAGAACATGAATTAATTGAAAATCCAAGACAGCTATTTTTAAAAGAAGTGTGGCTTTATGACTTCCATGTATGGTGTCATGGGCTCTACATCGTATGAGATTTTTATAGAGCTGGTGGGAAGGGAAGAGGAAAGAGAAACTTGTGTGTGGACATCCCAGGTGCCATCTCTTGGGGCACCGGTTCCTCAATTTTATCAGTATTGACACAAGTGGGGAGCTCTTTGGGGGCAAATTAGGCCCTTAATGGGGCTGAGGCTAGTGGCAGCGTGCTGTGAGGGGATGGGGACATCATTGTTTTTATTTGTGAGAGTGACAAAGGCTGACTGATAACCAGTTACATTTATCAATTCTGTCAAGTTTGAGTTGAAGTCCTTTGGTTGGTTGGGTTAATAAGTTAACGGTTAGTAAATAGTAAATCAGTTATTCTAAGTGGGAACTTCTAAGTAATTTGAAAAACAGTATTTTCAAGAGGTTTAATGTTTTCTTTAAAGTCTTATTTAAGTATGTTTTTGCCATTAGATCCATTTTTCTTCAGTTTCTTTAAAGACAACCATAACCTCTCTTTACCATCTAAAAACACAAGTCCAAGTTCAATGTTTTCCTCTGGTTTTGCTAAAGATTGCCACATGAAAATAGACTGTAGGGAATGCCATGTTGCTACTGTTCATTGTTTTTCTTTGTGAAAAGGCAGAGAGCCATTCTCCTTTTCGTATCCTGAAAAGTGTTAGGAGGTAGATCAGAGAGATGGCGGGCCCAGACTTTGTAAACCATTGCAGGCACTTGGTTTTTGTTTCAGGTGAGCTGGGAGACCACTGGAGTATTCTAGCAAAGGGGTGACATGTCTGCCTTGTGGTTTTAAACTCTGGCTACTATTTAAGAATAGACTGTAGGGATTTGATGTGGAAGCAAGAAGACCAGTTGCTAGTAAAAGGCTACAGTAGTAATTCTTACAAAAAATGACAGTGGCTCAGTCAGGGTGGGAATGTGGTATGATGACAAGTCGTTGAATTGTAGATGTATTTTGAAGATAGAACCAATAAGATTTGCAGATGGATTTGAGATGAGCCATAAAGGAAAGAGTGAAAGATGACTCCATAATTTTTAACCTGACCAAGTAGAAAACTGGAGTTTCGATTTATTGAGGTAAAGAAGACTATGGAGAAAACGTGTTTGTGGGAATTAGGAGTTTAATTGTGTACATATTTAGTTTGAGATGTTCATTAGTCATCCAAGTGGATTGTCATAGGAATTGAATGTATGAAGAGTGACATTGAGGGGAGATGTCACTGCTGGAAAAAAGAACTGGAAAGTTCAGTGCATAGATGTTATTCAGCGCATATTGGAGGCAATAGGATGAGACTTGGCCCCCCCCCCCCAAAGAAGTGAGTGTAGGTGAAGAAGAAAGGACCAGGGATTGAGCCCTGGGGCCCTGTAGTGTTTAGAGCTCTGGTGGATGAGGACGACCCACAAAGGAGAGAGTAATATAGAGCAGCCTATGAGGTAGGAGGAAAACTAAGGGTGAATAGTGTCTTGGAAGCCAATTAAAGAAAGCACTTAAATGAAAAGAGTCAAATAATACTGATGGATCAAATGAGATGAGGGCTAGAATTGACCATTGGCTGCCGCAAGGTAGAGATGTTTGATGACCTGGACATCAAAGTGGATGAGTAGCCACTTTGGTGAGGAAGTGAGAACCAAAGCCTTACTACACTCAGGAGTACATGGGAGAGAAGCATGTGAGTACAGACAGTTCTATAGGGAGTTTTACTCTAAGGAGGGTAGTGAAATGGAGCACTAACTAGAGGAAAAGGTAAGTTCAAGGAAGGTCCTTTTCTCTCTCTCTCTTTTTTTTTTCCAAGGAAGGGAGATACTATGGTAGGCTTGTGTGCTGATGGGAGTAATCCAACAGGGAAGGAAAACTAGCTGGCCCAAGGTGTGGTTTTGTGAATGCTTTGTTTCTAGTCTAAGAGGAGATAAGTAAAGGAGTTAAGATTAAATAGAAAGCCAGGCTGGTGTGGCTCAGTGATTGAGCATTGACCCATGAACCAAGAGGTCACTGGTATGATTCCTAGTCAGGGCACATGCCTGGGTTGTGGGCTCGATCCCCAATGTGGGGCATACAGGAAGCAGCCAATTAGTGATTCTCTCTTATCATTGATATTTGTCTCTCCCTCTCCCTTCCTCTCTGAAATCAATAAGAATATGTATATATATTTTTTAATTTAGAAAAAAGTATGGCAGAAACTATCAACTCCCTTGTTCTCACATGAAGGCCTGTCACCATGTCTTACATCTTTCTATTTTAGCAAGTACCTGGCAATGGGTTGTGCACATGAAAGTGATTATGTTCATCAAGAAAGGCTTACTTTTTGGCTCCAAAAGGACCCTGTTTGAAACTAACCATATAGTATGTGGATTGTAATTCTTGGAATTAGCTAGATAGACATCATGGTCTGCTGAGTGAGGAAGGTGAAGCATAATAATTTTAAGCATATAATAAACATTTAGAAATGGCAGCTTTGAAAACTTATTTTTAACATATCACACATATATTTCCTACATAGAGCAAAGAAAATAACTAGAGAAGATGGGTGTATAAGGACACAGCAGGTCCCCTTATACCTAAAGAATAGGATGGAGGGAAACTAAAATGCTATTTGATGAGGACACACATATTTTTGTATTTTCTTTAAACTTCTTTTTCTTTCTCTATGAAAAGAACACCCTACAAGGCAAACTGTGGAAAAGGCTGAGAGCCAATGTACACCTAACATGTCCTCTGTGTAAAACTCTGGCTCTTGACAAAGTCATCACCAGTCTAGAAATAGCAGGCACTTCGCAGGGGCTATGTGAACGCCATTGTACTCACTGCTGTAAGGAAAGACTTCACTCACTGCAGCACTTTAGTAAGAATTACCAGGGTGTGTTTTCTCACACATGCACAGGTCATAGTCTTCCAGCTTTGTGTTTCTCCAGGTGCCTAGCATCAGGCCATGTTCTCAGAGGGCTCCAGGGGTGGCTCCTGGTTTCTTGAATGAATAAAAAACTGACCTTTGGGTCATTTCTGCCAGTACCTCACCGGCCCTCAAGTTAGGCATTTGGTAAAACAACCCAAATAGATCAGACATGGGGTTTAAACATACACTGGATTTATATCATGTAGAATCTTCTCTTTGGAGAACTTGCATTTTGAAGACTTAATTCTTTACATAT